CGCTTCCTGGCCTGAAGCCGCGGGGCGCGCACCTCCCCTCCCACCCCGCCCCCATCCCGGAAGGCAAAGGCCTTGGAGCTTGGAGCAGGTGCCGCAGCGCGCGCCCGGGAAGGGGGTGAGTGAGTGAGCTGCGTGTCCGGGAGGTAAGCAACTCCGCGACTCCAACGCCCTCCGTCACCTCTTCCGCCTGCGGAGGCCCCTTTAATGAATTACCTGTCGTTGTAAAGGGCTGCTGGTGCCTGGTGCAGAGACAGCGCTCCAAATATGTCCACCGCTATATCGCGATGGTCGTCATCATCATTAAGGGAACATTGGAGCCAGAGGGAAGGATGCCCTGTGGCTCTAGAGGCCTCAGGTGGAGCAGCCCTCCTTTGGAGAATCACGGTGGGGCCTGACAGGGGCCAACCCGCTGTGCGGGAGGCAGGACTGCCCCTGTCCCGGCCCCCACTTCTTCCTCTGTGGGGCCCGGCAGCACTGACCGCCCTCTCACAGGACAGCTGGACGAGCCCTGGATGACCCTGCACCGGGCCTGGCCCCAGCGAGGGCTCCGTGGGCTCCCTTACCGCTCCTTCTACTGCAGGAGTCCACTTGGAAGAAGCTAATCTTGGGAGAGCGATGAACCAAGATTCCCAGATAACCTGGTCCCCTATTTAACCTTGTTACTCCCAAAGGCTTAGTGCAGTGGTTCTCAACCTTGGCTGCACATTAGAATCACCTGGCTTAGTGGCTATGCCTCCAAGGCATCATGGGGTTTCTGGGAATAGTGGACCGCTGCTGAGAGTCACAGAACATCCATGTTATGGAATATTATGCACAAAAACTAGGAAACTATTAAGGTGATAAAATCTACCATTGTTGAAAACCACCAGCACCAGGATGTGACAGTGCAAACGGCACGATCCCGTTATGTCATACAGGAGAGGAAAGTTCTAGAAGGGGACCCTCCACTGGCAACACGGTTATCCTCAGCGAGGGAAGTGGGCAAGAGGAGAGGGTCAGGGAGGGCCGTTCCTGGCTGGTGGTGTAATTTATTCGCGGTGGTAGTGTTTGCACAGAGGAGCCTCTGAGAACAGTCCTGCTAAGCAGGGCTCCCTGCTCCACAGATCCGGCGGTGGGATAGTCCCAGGGTCCGCCCCCACCCCCTGCCTCCCAGCCACCAGCACAGGGCTGGGATCCTGCAGCTGGCATTCTGTCAGGTGATGAAGACCCACCATATAAGGCAAACCATCATCACTTGCCAGAAATAGAAATGCAACATCAAAATAGCCAAAGCAGAAACCGACAGCATCATTAGATTCTCACCAGAGACTGCTGCTGCGGCCCCAGGCCCCACGGGGGAGGCCTGCCTTCTCTGTGCTCGGCAAGGACAGCATCCAGGATGTTAAGATGCCCTGGCCCCCTGGAGACTTTCTCCTTGACACAGTCCGAGAGACGGGAAGAGTATCTGACCCGGCTGCCTTTCTCCCTCTGTGAGTGGATACTTAGTGTCCGAGTGATACCTACATCCTCCCCAGGACCCTCAGGGGTCCTTGTCCCATGGTCAGAGGAAGCAAGTGTTGAGACAGGGGAAGGATAGACTTAAGGAGACAGTGTCAGGTGCCCGAATCTCCTAGGGCTGGCCCAGGGTACAGGGAGCCCCCCAAGGTGTGGACAGGGGCACTGAGCTGTGCCTAACTCTAAGGGCATAAATTTGAGTCCATAGTTTATTTAGGTCAGAACTATTGAAGGGGTGAGCTCCCCATCCCTGGAGGCATCCAAGAATTGGCCACGTTGAATTCCAAAGACGATGGGTCTTCCAATCCCCGGACATGGCAACGCCAGTGTCTCCTGCCTGCTGCCGAGAGCTGGGGGACTCTCCCTCCCTTATACCTGCCTGAAGCCCGCTGGTAGCCACATCCTCGGATCAGACACCGGAATTTCCCAGTCCCCGGCTCTTCACCCTCCATATTTTAGTCCCGTCAACTTGATTCCCCAGGCCACCCGTCTGGTGCTGGCTGGTGATACAGCGGCTCCTCCCTGGTCTTCCGGCTGCCTCTAGTTTTCCTCCTTGCCACCATTCACCTTCCATTTTATCACCGAGGGAGGAAAATGAGACTGTGGCCCTTCCCTGCTTTAAATTCTTCCGTAGCTTCTGCTGCCCGCGGGACTGAGCCTAAAACAGTCTGGCATTCAGGGCTCTTCATGTTTGGCCTCCGGCTACCTCTCTGGACTTGTCTGTTTCTGCTCCCACCAAACACCCAACAGTTTGGAAACTACAGGAATTTGCATACTTTTGCACTGCTGTCCTCTGCCTGGAATGCACTTCCCCCACCCAGCTGGCATCTCCATCTCATCCTTCCATGCTCATCTCAACTGGCACCATTTTTATGGAGCCTTTTCAGGCCCCTTCCCCCTTTCTCAGAGTATGACCACACTTCTCTGCCTGAAAGGACCCCTCCCTGGAGGTCCTAGCTGCCTCCTCTCGCTGTGTAATGGGGATGGGCCTGGCCTGGTGACTGAGCCCATCAGCCTGCCTGAGAAGGAGGAAGCAGATCCTAGAGGCAGGGTGAGATGGCATCTCACAGGAAGAATTCAAGTCCCTGGACTCGGCCACACCTGGAGTGCATTCTGTGCCTCGGGTAGGAAGCAAGCGTTTGCTTTTTGGTTGCTCAGGAGGGCATTCCTGCCACTTGCAACCAAATGAATGGCTAATACTGGAAATGGGGCCAGCAGCTCTACAGAGTATCTCACCCCACTGACCCTTCCCATCTCTCCGGTGGCTCCGTAGAGCTGCCATGGTCTGATAAACCATGTATCTTACTTGTTCATCTTGTTTACTGACTGCATCCTTTCTAGAACATCAGCTCCCCAGGGCAAAGTCCCAGTGCAGGGACTTTGGACAGTTCACTGTGTGACTTCAGTACCTGGCACATAGTAGGTGCTCAGAACATATTTTTTAAGCCAATGAATATTGGGGAGGGGAGAGGATGAGCAGTGCCTGTCACCTGTGAGGCGAGCACTCTCGTACGATGGGAAAGCTGACGCTTACAGAGTGCTGAGCTTGACCTTAGGTCACAGGAAATGGTAGACAGGGCTTTGGACTCGGCCTGTCTGGCTCCCAGGCTCACCCGCTGGTGTACCGCAGTGTGGGGCACATGATAGACCCCGAGGAGACTGTGTCCATGATTATGCTTTCTGGATTTGGAGGGCAGGCGCTGTAGGGCAGCTGCAGCCAGATGTGGGGACGGCTGAGCTGGTGGTGTGGCCCCTGCAGATCCTCAGCTGGAGCATGAGGCCAGATCAGACCGTCCCAATTAGCTCATCTTTAAATTTAGCTTTCCCCTCCCTGCGGGGGACTCAGGGATTCAGCGGAGGAATCTGCTCTTTCGAGGAAAAATGCTGTATCGCTTGCTTTGCACCCAGACCCGTGGTCGGCTGGATCATTCTGGACTCGCGGAATAAAGAGCCCCTCCAGGAAACCTGCTTTGGGGTGCCAGAGGCGATCCACCTTTGATGGGGGAGGCTGTCTGTGCAGCCCCCCCCATCACTCACCCAGTTTCCCTTGTGCTGCAGGTGGAGCCAGGCACATAATTTCCCTGCCACGCTTGCAGGTTCGCGCTGTGTGAACTGGGTCCAGGTCACTTCCTGGCTTCCCAAGGCACTCACAGTGACCACCCATCATTCAAGACCAAACCACTGCCCGTCACCCTGTCTCACTTTTTCTTGTTCATAGCCCTCTGCCTCGCCTCACTCCCCTTGACAGAACATATGCTCTGTGAGCGAGGGCAGGGACAGCCCTGGCCTGGGCAATCATTTATCTCTGGAGCCTGGCACACAGTAGGCCCTCACAGAACAAATGAATAGAATCACATGAAAGAATAAAGACCCAGGAAGAAGAGCGGGGGATCCATACGGTACCACAAGGCAAGACGCGTCTGTCGGAGGACTGTTCCCTATGTCCCTGCTTCAGGATTCCTCCTTGATCCTCTTCATCCTCTGTCCCCCAACCTTCATCCTCTAACTCAGTGATTCTCAACCTTCCTAATGCCGCGACCCTTTAATACAGTTCTTCATGTTGTGGTGACCCCCAATTTCATTGTTACAAATTGAACATAATTAAAGCATAGTGATTAATCACAAAAACAATATGTAATTACATATGTGTTTTCCGATGGTCTTAGGCGACCCCTGTGAAAAGGTCGTTCGACCCCCAAAGGGGTCGCGACCCACAGGTTGAGAACCACTGCTCTAACTGAAGAGTTGGCTAACTGTCTCTGTAAAGGGCCTCATGATCTCTTGCTGGACTACTCAACTCTGCTTTTGTAGCACGAAAGCCTCCATTAATAACATGTATGTGAACAGGCATGACTGTTCCAATAAAACTTTATCTATGGAATGCTGAAATTTGAACTTCATATACTTTTCACATGCCATGCAATATTATGGCGATTTTTTTCAGCCACTGAAAAATGTGAAGACGCATTTTTAGCTCATGGATGCCCAGAAACAGACAGTGGTGGTGGGCTGGAGTTGCTCCCCTCCAGTCTCTGTCTTTATTTTCTTATAAATAGGCACATTTTAGAATTTATTTGACCTTGTAGGTATACTTCTTAATCTAAATGTGTGGACATTCATGGCATGTGGTAAGCCAGTGGTTCTCAACCTGTGGGTCGTGACCCTTTTGGGGGTCGAACGACCCTTTCACAGGGGTCGCCTAAGACCATCGGAAAACACATATATAATTACATATTGTTTTTGTGATTAATCACTATGCTTTAATTATGTTCAATTTGTAACAATGACATTGGGGGTCACCACAACATGAGGAACTGTATTAAAGGGTCGAGGCATTAGGAAGGTTGAGAACCACTGTGGTAAGCTCTCAAGTGCTCTCCTAACTCTATAAAGCTAGCTGACTCGGCGATGAGCCCCTCAAGGGTACGTATGTCTTCTTCTCATCAGAATTAATAGCAGCAATATTTGTAGTGTTCTGCTGTATACTTACGACTGTGCTAAGCTTATAAAACTGTTTTAAACAAAGCATGTATGTCCCACTCCCGGAGGGCTGCCATTAGCTGTATACTTACGACTGTGCTAAGCTTATAAAACTGTTTTTAAACAAAGCATGTATGTCCCATTCCCAGAGGGCTGCCATTAGCGCTTCTATTGGCTGTTTCTCTGGTCTTTGCTTCCATGTTTCAAAATAATGTTTTACATATCTTTTTCTTAAATATTTTTATTTATTTCAGAGAGGAAGGGAGAGGGGAGAGACAGGCAGAAACATCAATGAATGAGAAAGAATCATTGATGGGCCGCCTCCTGCAAGACCCCCACTGCGGATCGAGCCTGCAACCCAGGCACCTGCCCTGACCAGGAATTGAACCGTGACCTCCTGGTTCATCATAGGTTGACGCCCAACCACTGACCCACGCCAGCCGGGCCATATCTCTTGATTTATCAGTTGGACATTGTCCTTTGACTTCCTACTCCTGGAGATAGAGACTTAGCTCTCTTATGCATATTGCTTTCACAATCATTTTATCACAATTCTTGGATAACTGAATATTTAGTGCTATGTTAGTATATGTAAGTATTGTTCACTTGGAGCAATGAACACCAAGAACACTTTTATTTTCTAGGATTTGGTGTGTGTGTGTGGGGGGGGGGGCGTTTCTGGAGCTAGTGATCGCCTTTGTTTTGTGTGCCTGTGACTCTCTCTCCCCCAGCCTCTCCAATGGCACTAACTTCTCTGCTCAGGGCTGGCTATGCCCAGTGTGGTCCTGGCCTCTCTCTTCTGCAGGATTTAGAGATTCCCGGGACTTAGCACCGATTTCTTGAGTCCAAGTCCCCCTATTTCTTGGTTTGTGCCCTTGTCTTGAGAATGTGCACCCACCCCACCTGGGCATTTCCAGACAGCGTTTCCTTCCACTTTCCTGGGAGATCGGTGGTTTGGCTGAGGACAGTGTTCTGGGTGGTGAATTCCTCTTGCCCCATGGCTTCCCGCTTCCAGTCTTGGGCAGTTAGCTGTCTGCTTCCTCATCCTGTGCTTCACACGTTGGTGGGTGTATTTTCTCTCTCTCTCTGAAAGCTTGTGGGATCTTCTTATTCTCCACATCCTGCACGACTACAGTGTGGGTTTGGTTGGGGTCTATTTTCACTTGTTGTGCTGGACTTTCAGTGGACTCTGTTGTGTCTTCCACTCCTTGTAACTTTCTTTTTTTTTAAAAAAAAAATATGTTTTTATTGATTTTTAGAGAGAGAGGAAGGGAGAGGGATAGAGAGAAAAGTCAGGGAGATAGGAACGTCTTCAATCGGCTGCCTCCTGCACGCACCTCCACCAGGGATCCAGCCTGCAACCCAGGCATGTACCCTGACTGCGAATCGAACTGGCCACCTCTTGATTCCTGGTTGAGGCTCAACTGCTGAGCCTCGCTGGCTGGGCCCCTAGTAACTTTCTTAAAGGGCATCACTGGTGGTTCCTTCCACTTCACTTCGTTTTCTCTTTGTGGAAGTCTCCTTTGTCACATATGGGACTTCCTGGATTGCTCTATTTTCTTTTGTTTCTTAAAAAATATTTTTTATTTATTTCAAAGAGGAAAGGAGAGGGAGAGAGAGATAGAAACATCAATGATGAGAGAGAATCATTGATAGGCTGCCTCTTGCATGCCCCATGCTGGGGATCGAGCCCACACCCAGCACATGCCAAACCGTGACCTCCTGGTTCATAGGTCGATGCTCAACTACTGAGCCACACCGGCTGGGCTAATTTCCTTATCTACATTTCCCCCCTTTTTGTCTTCTCATTCTACTCTTTCATCCAATCCCTTTGTTGACATTTTAATTTTGATTCGCAGGTTTCTAATTTCCAAGGGCTCCTTCTGGTTCTTTGAGTGTTTCTTTTCAAAAGGCAAACGGAAACTTGTTTCCTGGCTTTTGTGTCTTCTCTCAGCTCTCTGAGGATCACACACACAAGGGCTTTTCTGGAACTGCTTTTTTGTTCTTTATCTCTTTCCTCCAAATCCCCCCGCCCCCTTGTCTTTGGGTTCTCGTCCCTTCTTCGTTGGCTGGCATTTATGAGGGGCGTGCCACAGAGCCGACAGGAAGCTCCTTACCATGGGGGTGGCTTCCCTCTGGGTGATGATGGGAGATGGGAGGACTGGCCCCTGTAGGGGACCCCCCAAATGTCGGCCGCATCTGCAGAGTTTTCTCATGGCCTGACAGCCATCGTTCTAGAAGCTGAGACAGGGAAGGCCTTTGGGGTCACTGTTCCATGTGTGACTTCTCCTTTTAATCGCTGGTTTTCACGCGCACACCTGCCCTCTCCCACGCCCGTGTTCTGAGGCTGAGCTTTTCTATGCAGCAAGAGTTAAACATGCATTTTATGACTGAGTTCTCCCCACAGCTCTGCAAGGTTGGTGCTGCTCCGCATCTGCAGAGTTTTCTCATGGCCTGACACCCATCGTTCTAGAAGCTGAGACAGGGAAGGCCTTTGGGGTCACTGTTCCATGTGTGACTTCTCCCTTTAATCGCTGGTTTTCACCCGCATACCTGCCCTCTCCCACGCCCGTGTTCTGAGGCTGAGCCTTTCTATGCAGCAAGAGTTAACATGCATTTTATGACTGAGTTCTCCCCACAGCTCTGCAAGGTTGGTGCTGCTAGCTCTAACCCAGTTTCATAGTCTCAAGGAGGTGAAGTGAGCCGTCCTGGCACCCCTCAGCTAAGACATTAAAGGGCCAACCTGGGACCAGGGCCCAGAGGCACCCTCAATGCATGGAGTGACAACTTTTGGTTCATCTTTGGTTTCTTCCAAGGAAGATGGTGGTTGCTGACTGAGTAGTGAATAGCTCAGCTTTCTCAGTGAGAGACATGGGGAGACACATGCGTGCCCATGGCACA